CTCTCTCTCTCTCTCTCTCTCTCTCTCTCTCTCTCTCTCTCTCTCTCTCTCGGATCAAGACATAAGCTCTCAGCTACTGCTCCAACACCATTCCTGCCTGCCTGCTGCCATGCCCCACCCCTGGCACCTCTGTGATTATTCACCAGCTCTAACCTTCTGAAAGTGTGAGCCCCAAAGTAAACGCTCTCTTTTATAATTTGCCTTGGTCATGGTGTTTTGTGACAGCAATAGAAAAGTACCTAAGACAACCCTCTTCTCTGTATATGGACACTTGCTGGGACTCACATTTTCATATGGGGCTTTACCCTCTTCTGTAGCAGGTCAAATTATACTATCCTTTTCTCCTCCTGCTAGTTGTGACCACAGATACATCCTCACATGTATTTGAGGGGGTGGGCACACAACTTCTACTCCTCCCTGGTCTTCGCCCTCCAGACATATGTGTGCTCATCCCCACACATGTGCACTCACACTCATACATGCCTGCTTTCCCTCCCGTGAGTTCTCTACACTAGTGACTAAGATCACCTTCTCAGTTGCTCTTCATGCCCATTGGTTCAGGGTACAGCATGGACATCGCTTCTCTCAAAAGCCCTCCTCCTGGGACACCATCCCCTTGGTAGCCTGAATCAGGCACTCCTGTTTGCTCCTTTCAGGGAACGCTGAGCTGTCCGTCTCGTGGACTCTATTCCATTGTGCTGCAGTAGCTGTCTGTTGGGATAATTCACCACATGCTTTATCGTATGAGGGAGGGATGCACACGAAAGGCATCCAATGTGTGTTGGTTGAATGGTTTAATAGAGTTGAAAGAGGACTGGGTAGATGAGAACATTTGAGGGAAAAAAGAACTTGGAACAGAAATGTCCTGAAAGAACGTGTCACCCTTCTCACCCCCACAATGAATTCACTTGGGGGTTGTGTGTCATTGGGGGTCATTCCAGGCACACTATTTCTCGTTGGAATAAGCACTGTAGTTGTGTCTAAATTCTTACAATTTCAGGTTTAATTATGAGGCTGAGGCTGAGGCTGAGGACACGGGGTGGGCACAGACTAAGCCTGAATGCAAATAGGACCTTGAAGAAACTGAGCATGAGTCAACAGGCAGAAATCATCATAGGGACGAGGCTGGACTAGTGACAGGAATGTGGCTAGATCTAGGGGTGGGTGTGTGGGTGGTCTGGGATCAGCTCTAGGTTTGGGGAGATGCTTGAGGTTGAGGATGTGGCTGAAGTTGAGATACAACTGAGTATGGAGCTTCTTCTGCATTAATTTCTTCTCCTTGCAGTGTCTAGGACCCTGAAGGTCCTCCCAGAAGTAAAGCTGGATGTAGAGTGGGGTGGATCCATTACTATCACGTGCCCACTCCCTCAAACACCTGTGAGGATGTATCTCTGCCGGGAGATGGCTGACCATGGCATATGTGCCACTGTGGTATCCAGCAGCTTTGTCAAGAAGGAGTATGAAAGACGCGTCACCCTAACGCCATGCTTGGATGAGAAGCTCTTCCTAGTGGAGATGACACACCTGACCGAAAGTGACAGTGGAGTCTATGCCTGTGGTGTGGGTCATTACACGGACCGGGGCAAGACCCAGAAAATCACCCTGAACGTCCACAGTGGTGGGTGCTTAGGAAACATTCCCAGTTGGGAAAACGGAGGCAATCTTCTCATTGTAACTGCTCTGTGCCACTACCGTGTCAGGCAGCCCAGTAACAATGCGGTTCAACAGAGCTCAAGACTAACACCCCAGCCTAGAACCTTCTACCACAGGGGATGAAAGGAATAAGGCGGATGTTGTGCGTTGCCCATCCTACCCGGTGTGAGTGGAGAGATAGACGTTAGCCTGAGGAGAGGCTTTGAGGCAGAGGAAACCAGAAGGACCCTGACTGTCCTATGTCATGAGAAGTCTCGGGTGAATGAAAAGGAGAAAGACTCAGTGATCAAGCCATATCTAGTCCAAATTTGTTACTGTATGGTCGGGACCTTCATTTCTTCTGACCCCTGACGTTTCCTCTTTTCAGTGGCTTCCTAACACACGCAGGACTGGTTCAGCAGTTTATAATCCCAATAGCCTGATAGTCTTGTAGGGAATGCTGGATGTGCCGGCGGGAAGTGGCGGGGAGGGGATGCCCAGTTCCCTTACTGCTTGTCTTAGGGGTACTTATCTCCTCATGGCCTTGGCTGAGTCAGCTTCTACCTGATCCCCCAGTCCTATCTCTTCATGATCACCAGTATATCCCTCTTGCCTCCAACAGAGTATGAGCCATTCTGGGAAGACGAACCGACTCCTGAGCCTCCACCATGGTTTCATAGGTTTCCGTGGGAGCAGATTCCCAGCTGGCTCATTGAGGATGAACATGCCAGTCCTGAATTCATAGTCGAAGGTCAGTCCATCAAATCAAGATCAGCAGAAGAGGGAGAGTTTTGTTTTGTTTTGTTTTTCAGCTCCAAGGGTGGCTGGCAAAGCAGACATGGGTTTCCCTGTGCTTTGTCTTTGCCCTAAGAGAGGGCTTCATCCTACCACTAGGACGCGAGGCTCTGGTTGGAGGAGTCCCATGTCACCACCAGGTGGCACCACAAGTAACAAAGTGACCAGTTTACAAATGCCAGCTCCTGTTTGAATGACAGGAAGCGGGCAGCAGCCGGTTCCCAGCTGGAGGTCATTATGTTTCCTGCTACCTGCCGGGGTGTCTTCTGGCTGCTGGTCACTAGTGGTTTTAACAGCTCCATTTGGCAATGAAAAGATGACTGTCATGCTAGCATTTCCATTGTATCTTAACATACATCAGATAAGTTAGACACACTAAGTGAACAGCATTGTTACACCAGGAGACCCTGCTGGGGCCAAGAGAAACAGTGTAACTGGGCAGATCAGAGATCCATGAGCGTGACTGACAGGGATGGGATGGGGGGAGAATAGATGAGCACAGAAAAGTAAGACACACACCCCACCCCACCCCCCCATTCCCATGCACAGTACCAGGCCTGTGAAGTCAGGAAAGGCATTCTGGGAAAAAAGCTGAGAAGGGGCAGGCTGACTTCAGGGCTCTTAGTACACAGGCCCTAAATGCAGAGCCTTACCTTTGCCGGTGAAATCTGGTGTGGTGGCTGTGGCTGGCCCCTAGGGACCCCAGTGCTTGCTGAGCTGAGGTCAATTGGAAGGAAGCTGAGAAAATTTGAAGGAAGCATGCATGAAAAGTGTCTGTGCAGATGGCATGCTATAAAGGCATTTCAGGCCATGAGGACTGCAAGAACAAAGGTAGTATGTACGGGCAAAAGGGAAGAAATGATCGAGAGAGGAAGAGGCCACTCCTTCTGGAGACTGGAGAACACAATATGTCACTAATGTAACCTTTTCCTTCTCTCTCTTGAAGTTACCACACCAGCCCCAAAGACTGAGGCCTCTCCAGCTGACCAGCCCTCCAGCACCAATCCAGTCACCCACCATCCCAGAGTTTCCAGAACATCTTCAGTGACAGCTGCCAAGTCCCCAGCCCTCCTGCCAGCTACCACACCCCCAAAGACCTCAGCTCAGCAAGCACTCGGGTCCCTAGGGGCCAGCTACAGCCACCACACCAGATTTCACCGGCAAAGGTGAGGGTCTCTGTGTTTAGGCAAAGGTAAGGGTCTCTGTGTTTAGAGCTAAGAGCGGTGAAGTCGGCCTGTCCACTTCTCAGCTTTGTCTCCAAGAGTCTACAGAGAATTGCTCTGTTTCTGAGTGTGCTATATAAATGCATTAGTCTCCTCAACAAAGAATACACTTGCCAACAGCCATTTCTGACCTTGTAGAAAGACTTGGATCTTTCAACCATACAGCTTCATTCAGGTCTGTTGTAATGAATAACTAAATGAGAAGAACTTTTAATTAATTTAAAGTAATTAATCACTAATTAGTAAGTGTTAAAATTACTCTCATCTTTTTTCTTTTTCTTTTTAATGCTGCTAACAGAATTTTAATTCCATAAGTGACAAATGTTTCTGTTGCTTAGCATTGTCCTAAATATCGGACCTAAATGAACCACTAGGGGGCAGCATTACAGAAAATGCTGAGGACCGCACACAAGAATTTTATAGCCTGAGTGAATATAAACTTGTGAGCGAGGAAAAAAGACTCCCAGAATCGTTTGGATCCTTTAAGTGAGGGAACTGGGGCAATGAAATCTAAGTGGTTACCATGAAAACAGGACTCTTGATTCCTATTTCAGAAATGCATGTAATAAACATTTTCTTAATGCCAACTGTGCGGCGGGCGCCGTGCAGTGTCTTTAAGATTTTTTTTGTTTTTGTTTTTGTTTTTCGAGACAGGGTTTCTTTGTGTAGCTTTGCGCCTTTCCTGGAACTCACTTGGTAGACCAGGCTGGCCTCGAACCGCCTCACAAGATAAAGACTTGCAATGTCCAGGTCTGATTGATGCAGGCCGGCCTGGGGAAGGGTTTCCAGCGGCGGGAGCAGGAGCCGATTTAGAAACTGCTATGGGCCAGGCACCTTCAATTCTTTATGCCTCCTTTGTCACAGCCCTGACAGTTCCGTGGCAGGTTTTATGGTTCCCGTTTATAAGGAAATACAGCTCAGGGGAATTAAGACTCGCTCAAGACCACATAACCAGTAAAATACAGAACTTGAATTTGAATCCAAGACTCCTGACCCCATAAACAAATCGCTTTGGGGGGTAATGGAGGAAATTCTGTTCACAAAGAGTCAACTCTGAGTCATCTCCAAAAAAAGGTGGCCACACAAAGATGAGTCTTTAAATTTCCTTTCCTCATTTACCTTCTCTGTCTCCCTCTCTCCCTCTCTTTTCCGGCCAAGAACACTCCACCACAGCCCACAGCATGGGAGAGAAGACCGGGCGCTTCACATCCCCATTCTGGAATTTCACATCCTGATCCCGACCTTCCTGGCCTTTCTCTTGCTGGTTCTTTTGGGGCTGATGGTAAAAAGAGCCATTCAACGGAGGAAAGGTGAGCAGCTTGAGGCTCTAGGCTTGGGTTGGGAGAGCTGAGATACCCAAAGAGCCCAGAGCATTCAGATCCAGCTTGAACTCCCAGGGAACGTGGATGGGAGATGGTGCCCGGGAGGGCTTTGCACTTCCTCCTTCTCTCTGCACCCTGGGCATCTATGCTCAGACCATGCGTTGCTAGACCTCAGAGAAGTGTGTAGCCCACAATTTGGGGGAAGGAGACGCACTGTCTGATGACATGTCCTTCTCTCTTCCCGGTGACTTCCTGAAGCCTTCTCCAGGCGCATGGGCCGGGTGGCGATGAGGATTCGAGGCCAGGGGGCGTCCCGCCCGTTCCCGGCACAGCGCCGGGGTGCCCCGCAGAGGCCGCGCTCGCAGAACAACGTCTACAGCGCCTGCCCGCGGCGTGCACCGATCCCCGACCGAGTGGGTGAGCACACGCGCGAGTGAAGCGTGGAGACGGGATCCAGCGGGGTGCAGGGGACAGGTGGCGGCCAGGCCTGCAGAGGCCCGGCCCTCACCGCTTTCTTCTGCCCTCTAGGTCCAGCAGAGGCTCCGCTCCTCAGTGCCCCAGGCTCAGCATCTCCCGCCCCGCCGCAGGTACAGGTAAGCTCCACCCGCCCCAGCCCGCTCCTCTGGTCCGGGTCCCCCAACCGGTTATTATCCAGTTCCTAGGTTTAAGCCCCCTGGAGGGTGACTCCGCAAGAACTGTGGTTACTTTTACCTACTGGCCAGGCATTTCTTTTGGGATGAATGGATGTCATGGCTTTAGTCTAATAGAGAATGATAAAAGGTGTATATCTCTGCAGTGACCATGATGTAAAAGGGACACATAGGTTTCTAGAAGGCTAGAGAAGGTGGAAGCTACCAGGATAGTTTTACCTCAGTGTGAGGGAGAACATTGGAGACAACTCTTAAAATGAGATGAAGTCATAGTAAAGTGATCATTAGGCTTTATCCAAAGTGACTGGGCAGAGATACAGACATTCAACACTACAGGTATGTCCTTTTGTTTTCTAAATTAAGAAAATATTCTTTATTCTCAACGTCCAAAACATTGGATTTTGTAGTCAGAAAAATATGAATAAGGGTTCCGTGTGTGTGTGTGTGTGTGTGTGTGTGTGTGTGTGTGTGTGTAATTACTGTTTAATTAATTAAATATAACAGACCCAAAAATGCAGAGCTCAGAACATGGAGGCCAATTTTCCTCTGAAGTCAAGGTTCAAACCAGAGAGATAGGAAGAACTGGCTTAATCCATGCCATCATCCAGTGACATTTTGCTCTTAAAAAACTCCAACAAACTTCCATGTCCATGGCCAGTATTCAGCCACCAGACCAAGTTCTTATTTCTACCCAGAGGGAAAACTGGCTTCTTTATGACCGTGACCCTGAATTTTCATAACCCACATCCACTTGCCTCTCATTAGCTGTCTTGCAAGCACATCTGCCTTCAAGGGAGGGTATGAGTTGCTGTGGATATCGCTCTGTATAAATAAAACAGTGATTGGCCAGTAGCCAGACAGGAAGTATAGGCAGGACTAGCAGAGAGGAGAGAGCAAAAGGAGAGGAAGGCAGAGGGGAGGAGACACCAGCTGCCGCTCTGGGAGCATTATGTAGAGGCAACAGGTAAAGCCACGGAACAGGTAGCAACACATAGATTAACAAAAATGGGCTTAGTATAAGAGTAAGAGCTAGACAATGGGAGGCCTGAGCTAATAGCCGAGCAGTTTAAATAATGTAAGAGTCTGTGTGTTTATTTTATAAGTGGGCTCCAGGACTGGCGAGCCATGGCGGGAGCTGGAGAGAAATTCTCCAGCTACAATGAGTGTCATGCCTGGTTGGTAATATATTGATTAAATGATGATGTGTCTGGCTAAAAAGGGAAGAAGCCCTGTAGTCACCTCCAGTGTCTTGAATGTGTTCTCTCACCCATGTGACCCCCCAAAATAGTCCTCAAGGCTTGGGAATGAATGGCCCAGCAGAGCCTGCCTGCCCTTTCCCAAAGCTAGTCCTTTCCTGTGGACCTGCCCTATGATCCTGCCTCCCTCTGTGAGACCCTCCTTCTCTCAATTAGGGTGGAAAAAATCCCGACAGAACAAACTTACAGGGTACATGTGCTCAATGACTTATTTCAGTCTTCATAGTGAATAATTTTTTAAATTTATTTTTAGTGTATTGGTGGTTTGCCTGCTTATATCTGTAGAAGAGTGTCAGATTCCCTAGAATTGGATTACAGACTGTTGTGAGCTACCATGTGGGTGCTGGGAATTGAACCTGGGTCCTTTGAAAGAGCAGCCAGTGCTCTTAATCTCTGAGCCATCATCTCTCCAGGCCCATAGTGAACATTTTTACCGTCTAAACCAAATAAGTCGACATTACAGTGGGAGATGTGGTTTTGAAGCAAGCTTCTGCCTGTGTCTCTTTTTTGGTAAAATATACAATGTAGAAGTTCTTTTTAACAGACGCTTCCTGCATTCAAAGGACTGTGCTCCTGGTTCTTAGAACTTCAGATGACTGATCACAGTGTCTGCCGTGGCGTTCTTCTGTGGCTAGTGCAGTACGTGTACCATGTTGGAGTCTTGGCATAACCTTGTCTTCCGAGAACTAGCTGCCATGGAGGGGGAGTCCTGACGCTTCTGTCTGACCCTAGTGCCCACATGACCCGCAATCTTCCTTCCTCGGCTACCTAGCCCTTTTCTGGAATGCATTCTGATGCCATGCCATGGCCTCTCCGTGTCCTTACAGAGGTGTAAGAAATGACTCACCCTACCTCTGAATAGTTGATGGAAAAGATGCATATTTTCCTTACAAGTCATATCCCTTTATCCCCAAGGGGAGACTTCTTCAGTTGGGCCTCCTTCACACTTGTGCTCAGCCCTATGGTTGCAGTCTGAACCCATGTAAAGCATCCCTCCGGCATTAGAATGAGGCAGTTTCCAGTTATTTGGAGGTGTGAGACTGCACCCTGAAAAACCCCGGGGCTGGCCCGCTTAATGAAGTTCAGCTAATTTTGTGTCATTGTCATCTGGAACTCATCCACCATGTCCATGTTCGTCCATTTCCTGCAATGGAAATCCACCTAAACAGGTGTTAAAACCCCCCAGCCAGAGCTAGTGACACTCCTTTGGTTGTTCCCAGGTACTTGAGGCCCCCTGGCCTCACACCCCGCCTCTGAAGACAAGCTGTGAATACGTGACCTTGTGCCACCAGCCTGCTGTCAACGTGGGAGACACTGATTCAGATGATTACATCAATATTCCTGGCCCACATCATCTCCCCAGCTGTCTCCCAGGGCCCAGACCTTCGTGCCAATGAGTCCTGCCTGTCGGCTGATTTCCAGCACCTTTTCCATTTGTTATAGGATCCCTGTCACCTCCCATGTCCCCTACCCCAACCTGAGTCTCACCCGACTGTCTGAGTGCCTTGAGAATGGTCCTGTTACAAGCTAATTTCACCACCACCACCCCATTGAAGCCCCCTGCATTCATTGAGAGAGCTCTGGACACGCAGAGCATTCGTTAGTCATGATGGCACCTGCCCTGTCTGTACCAGCTGACAGCTGTGGGGCCTATGAGGTGTTTCATCACTACCTTTGGGCACATGGTCTTCGCTGCCCCACCCCTAGCTCATGTGGCATCAGGCTGGAACATAAGCCTGGCTGACATCTCCAGGCCCAGATCCAAAGTGCATAATGAGCTACTTTTCTTGAGTCCCATGGCAAGGGCAACTTATTTGATATGATGACTTATATCTAAATTTTTAGAACTAACCTTTTGTTTGTGTTAGGGATATACACCCACATGAATCCTCTTTAACTCACCATCCCTTGGTACAGATAACCAGACTCCAGCATCTCTCTCCTTTTAGAAAGTCTTGGTTATCTCCCTACCTTCTTCTACATTTTAATACTTTCACTTTGATTTTAGCTGAACCATCACCTCCCTTGTCAATTCCAGACAACTCATGGCAAGACATGGGAGAAACGCACCCTGGGGGATCCCACAAGGTCAGGGGATTTGCACTAGCCCTTCTGGTGTGGAAGAAGAGACATCCCACTTCTGCGCACACTTTTTAGATCAAGGTTAGAGTCAGACACTTCTTGAACTGACATCAGCTGCAGAGTGCAGCCACAGCATAAGGCAAGAGAATGCCAGATCTTGCCTTTGAGAAGAAGGTCTTTCCCAGATACCCAACATAAGCTCCCTGGACACTTTTCTTGAAATAGAATGGAGTGGCTACCTGAGTCGAGTTGCCTTTCTTAGGGAGGAATGTCATCACAGATTGAACAGTGCATCCAGGTCCAATGTTACTATCCGCTTGATACATCGTATTAAACAAATAAGGAAAGAATGATATCATAAGAAAAGAGGGGTGCTCAGAGAAATCGGGGAGTGGGATGGGTGGGGAAATCAAGGAAAAGGTGAAGTGTCTGGGATGAATCTGCCTTATTTTAGCCCACATGGTAGTTTTCATCGTTTATTCTTCAAATCAGTGTCCTTTGGTGGAGCAACAAACCAGAGGTTAAGAGCACTGGCTGCTCTTCCCGAAGACCTGGGTTGGATCCTCAGCACCCACAGGGCAGCTCACAACTGCCTCTAACTCTAGTCCCAGGGGATCCGACGCCCTCATCTGGCCTCCAAGGGTACTGCATGCCATGCATGAAGTGCACAGACATATAGGTAGGCAAAACACCCATACACACAAAAATAAACAAAATCTCAAATCAGTGCCCTCCATGCCCCAGCATTCTGTCCCTGCATGATTTCTAAGCACTGAAGTTTAGCTTCATAACCCATCACTCATTGTTCCCCAATAATCCACAAGACACAACAATAAATAAAAACAACGCAGTTTAAATATTTCCTGAGCAACCATCCACTGCCCCCACGTCGTAGCCAGAGCACAGGAAATAAGGCGGAAGCACGGGACACTATGTTCTGCTGCTTTCCTGGAACTTCCAGTCTCACAAATAAATACAGTTTCCACTGAAACAGTGACAATGGTTAAATAAAGGTGTAATAAATACACAAGTCCACTTTAGGAGTTCACCACAGCATTCCAAGGTGCCTGCCATGACTGTCATTTGGACTGCTGGAGAATGAAGTCTGAGGAGAATCCTGAGCCAGCAACGGAGTCAGTCCATGGCCAAGAGTCTGAAGTGTCCTGAGGACAGCCTGGGTGTTAACAATGGCTTGAAATGGTGTGGAGAACAAATAGGAAGTTATCCTGACAGACAGTCAGAGATGGTAGAAGTTCTGCATCCAGGTCAGGAGAATGTCCACTTCCCCAAAGGCTTTCACCAAAGCCGCTTCTGTGTCCATCTGCAGCGAATCAAGAGTTAGGAGTCAGGTATGGTGACTGAGAATAGCTTCATTCCAACCTGGCCTGCCTGACAGGGACCTGACTCCAAATTAGCTGAATCCCCTGGGGAACGACCTCTGATAAATAGATCCGCCCATCACTTGTACCCCATTATGTTTATATGTTTCCAGGGTGAGGAAAGGGGACTATTGAGTAGGAGGTAGAGGGCCAGAGAAGAACACGGCTCCTGGAACATAAGAACCATGGGATACAACCCAGGGAAGATGTGGTTAACTCATTGGGCAGATAAGAAATGAGCCCACATTGCATTCCACCATATATTTGTAGACTGGTATATCTGTTCTTCCACAAAGTGATCAAAACCAAGGATGCTTCCTTTGAAGGTGAGGGTACTAGGGTTGAGATTTGGATTTTCTTTGGTGTGTTAATTTAGAAAGATGTAATATGATCTTCTGTATCTTTTATTCAAAATGAGACCATTTGAATATTGCAGAAATGATGCTGGTGTGTTGGAAGGTGAGTTACCCACCTTCTTTCTCAATTCTGACATTAGGTGCCTGTAAAACTTTCTCTTAGGGAAAGTCCTCAACAATGAACTGTCTTGTAAGGAAATACAATAGCATTTCCATTTGCAAGGTCTATGGGGCACTCCCCTGTGGCAGTTCAAGCTAGCCTGCTTCTGTTGGGGAGGCAGGCTCCCAGCTCTTACCTGTTTGAATGCTTTGCAGAACAGCAAAAACCGCCGGTGTGCACTCTCACTAATGGAAAGCATGTCCTTGTCCTTCTGCATATCAGAAAAAAAAAAATGTTCCTCAAGTTAGACCAGAGTGGAGGTTAGCCCCTCCAGATCAGGCAGGAGGTTCACCCCTCCTGCTCTTCCTGGTGATACCAGGGCAGAACTCCCAGATCCTGTGAGGACTGCACTGAGTTCCACACTGTCAGGGAAGCCAGAGCCAGATTCACAGCATATGGCAGGGCTCTATCTTCCTTCACATCACTCTCTATAGGTAGAAATGTCACCCCCATTTTACAGATGACAAAACTGAAGCCCAGAGAAGTTGAGCACCGTGCAAGGGTTCCCTAGCTGATCAGGGCAAATAGAGACCTGAACCTATAACCCTTTTTCATGACACCCAGGACTCTGTTGAGAATGGAAGCTGGGTCTGAATGGAGGGAGGGGCAGATTCTCCAGCACATCCTTTCCCAGGCTCCAGTCATGATCTACTCACACTAGGATGCAGTTTTGACACAATGACAAAAAAGTTGTTGGCCAGAGTGGAGAAGGACTTCGAGATCTTGAACTTGGCTACTTTGCTGGGGTAGTTTTTGAAAACAGTGTTCAAGTAGAATTTCAGCAGACTGTGGACAAGGTAACAGCTCTCTGCATCCTGGGGAAGAAGCAAATCATTGAGGCCTCTGCTAACCCTGACCCTCAAGGGAAAAACCTGTGTACCACTCAAGGTAAGATGGGCACCATAGGGTCTCTTTGGGAATGATGGTGGCACTAGATAGATCTGAAGGGACAGCATGAGTCTTTGTGGAACAACTTGAGATTTACAGCGGGAGCCCAGACCCCAGAAAGAAGTTACCCACCCAAGGTAACCCAGCCACCCCCGATGCTAGCCTGGCTCCCAGGACTCCCGGATCACCACCCAGATGAGATTCCCTTTCTTCTCTACTGCATGGCCTCATTAACATGATGGATCCTGAACAGCATTTGAACTTGGACTTTGTGATTGAGAATTAGAAGGAAAATGGCAGGAAGGAGAAGAGTGAGAAAACTGATGCCCTTGAACACAAGTGCTACCTGACCCTTTCTGCCCAGGAAGCTTGGCTCCCTTCAGGAATCAGTCTGTTCATGCTCACAGTCTATCTAGGCCAAGGGTTCTCAAACTTCCTAATGCTGCAACCCTTTAATACAGTTCCTCATGTTGTGGTGACCCCCAACCATAAAATCATCATTGCTGATTCATGATGGTAATTTTGCTACTATTACTAATTGTAATTAAATATCTGTGTTTTCTGATGGTCTTAGGTGACCCCTGTTAAAGGTCCATTTGACCCCCAAAGTGATCACGACCCACAGGTTGAGACCCTCTGGTCTATACATATGGTCCTGTGTAGGGTCACCTCAGAACAGAAAGGAGGAGCTCCCATCAGCCCCTTTGGAGAGCTATCCCATTCTCTACTATTTGATTACCGAGACATTGTGAAGAACCTGCGACTTCAACAGCCGGACACTTGTGATGTCATCCTGAGTTTGCTTTGGGAACAGAAAGAAAAGATGTCTCCAGGTTAGGGATCTTCGTAGGAGCCAATCTTGCTGAAATACTGTCCCCCCAACTCCAAACACTATCCCATCTGGGAGACTTTGGAGACCAGAGGGACCAGAGGAGGACCCAGGAAGGGTCCTAATGAGCTAGCTCCTGGGGAGGAGGTGTGAGTCCCGTCTACAGAAAACCACTAAGCTTACTCATCCCAAAGGGGCACAAGGACCCCCTGATCACAGACTTGAAAAGGGACCTTTGCTTCCTTTGGCCATATGAGACACAAGGAAATAAGCTTTTCAGCTTTAGGAGCCACAAAGGGTAAGGTTCATCTCCACAGTTCACATGGGGAGCAGATGGGAGCATGTGGCTGCACCTAGGAGCTGCCTCTTGCTCTCAGAGGACTCTCCAAAGCCCAGCCTCTCATCCTACTCCTTATACTGGGGGCCAGAACCCACCCAGGATGAAGCTGAGCCACTCAGGGTCCCCCTTCCTCCCCTTGGGCTCTGCTTCTTTTACTGGCCACACATGACTGAGCCTCAGTTTTCCCCGTGTGTAGTACTGGCCATATGGAGCCTCCTGACCTCATCCGGGTCCTTGTGTATGGAACTGACGGAGAAAGTTGGAAAGGGATCCACGGTCCTGAAAAAATACCCTACCCGCTCCCCCATAAGGGAAGCACCATGAAAGGATCCAGGGCGAGCCTCTACTCACCACAGTGCTCTTCATAGCCGAGAAGGCCTCCCACAGTTCTGAGAGAACCACCCCTTCCACTCGGCAAGGCCCAAATCGGAACTCATGACCCTGGAGCCCTGGCACTTGGTTCCAGACAAGAAGGATAAGGCTCAGGCAAGAGAGCGTCTGTAATTTGGAGCTCATCTGCGTCCAAGAACGGACAGGTGCTTCTGCTGAAGGAAAGCAGACTTTAGCCTGGAGCCAACTTCTGCCTCGGAACTTGACATGCCCAAATAATGTTCCAGGAGCTGATTCAAGCCACCATTAGGAGCACACAGATGGGATGCCTGGGGCTAGAGAAATGCTGTAGTTTAAATGTCTCCATCGAAACTCCTGTTTAAATTCCCTGCCTCCTGTGATAAGGCATGTAGAGGTAGAGCCTTTAAGAGGGGACGAGGCGCTCCCATCTTTGCCTTCTTGAATGAATCCACGCATGTGTGGACTACTGGAGGGAGGGAGCTTCCTCCTTTGACTTCGAGGACCCGCCTTTGAGTCACCGGGATGACCTACGTGGATCTATTTCTCCTGCCAGAAGGCAAGCGGCCCTCACGCATCAATACAAGGAAGCCCAGGGTCCACCGAGGCCCACAGGGAGACACATGGAAGGCAAGTCTGGGTCCCACATTCAGCCCTGCCATCTCAGCGGGCAGACCCACTCCTGACGCTAAGAATTGATCTTTCCAGTAAGCGAAACCAGAAGGAGGGGTAGGAGTTCCAGGTGAGTCATTTTTAAACCGCTTCTCTGAAGTGCCAATTGGGAAGGACCGTGTGACGGGCCCTCAAGCAGGAGTCGGCCCCGAGCCTCGGTGACTGCCACAGCAGAATGTTTTCTGGGCCTCCCTGCCCTTTGCTTTTCTTCTCTCCTTCCCCTTAACTCCTCCGCCCCATTTTTTTCAACCTTATCAGACAGAGCCTTCTTATTTGCACACTCTCCTCACACCTGAAGAAACTGTCTTCCAACCCCAGCAGGGCAGAGAGGGCAGAGAAGCCTGGGGTAGGGAACAGGTGCCTAAGGCCAGAGGCCATCATCAAAATTCTTCCCGTTCTCTTCTTTTAAGTGCTACAGGCTTCCCAGCTTCTCTTGAAGTTCATATCTGGGTCTATTATCCCCCTGGCCTTCCTCCCATCCAACCCCAGTTCTCCTTGGTGTTAAGTTGTAGTAAGCAACTCTTCATTCAGTTATTTCCTTATAGAAAAGGTTGATGTATGCCAATCCGCCCTTAAAACCTGCTTTCCCAAACAAGGCCACAGCCTAAAGCCTCAGAGCAAAGGCTGGGGAAGCCCCGCCACCCACCTCAGGTTCTGAAGTGATGCTGGAGGCCGCTGTTAGAAAGTGGCTGGTTTTTTCTGTGACGGGGAACGTTGAGCAAGCTCCCTCAGCATTCACTGGCAGAGGAGATCCTTGTGGGTAGAAAGTTCCCGTCTCAGTTGTGGAAGCGAGGTTTGGAGCACTGTATATAGGGGGGTCTGGCAGGGAGGGGCCGAGAAAGAGAGGAATGTGGGGAGAGGAGATGCTTTCCCCAGGGAATGACTTCACTGCCTAGTCACACTTTGCTCATAAAGAAGTCAGCCCCAGGTCTCCTCTCACCTGAGAGACTAATTTCGGCACGTTCCCACTGTCTGTGAGCAAAGGGAATCACTTCCCAAGCCTCTCTGAACTGCAGTTCCTACATCTACAAAATTTTATTTTTAAACATTCAAAATCATGCCCAGTGTCACATGCCTGTCATCCCAGCACTTGGGAGGTAGAGGCAGGAGGATCAGAAGTTCAAAATGGTCCTTCTTGGCTACGGAGTCAGTTCAAGACCTACCTGAATTACATGATCTCCTGTTTTTTGTTCGTTTGTTTGTTTGTTTGTTTGTTTGTTTGTTTGTTTAAAAAAAAGGTCCAATTTACTTTTCCCAGAGAAAAGGTATAAGGAGAAAACAGAGAAGCAATACAGAAGTACTCTGTAATCCCTACACATGTAACATGCAAACATACCATTACTATGCAAAGTGTACCAGTCTGTTATACTGTATACTATCAAATTCATTCAATATTTATGCTTTATTCATGATGGAGCGATAGCCCAGAAACCAAGCTAGCCCATAAACACCTTCCTTTAATCGTCAGGGCCAGGAATTTTAGGAGTTTCCTGACTTGCAACCACCCATAGTCTCTGGGATTACAATCGCCCTAAGTATATTTCTCCTTAAGCACTGGGAAAAATAATAATGGACAGGCACACAAACATGAGGACCTCGGTACCCTAACCTAGGCCTAGGCTGCATGATGGAATACTAGCCCCTCATGGGAACGGATACTGTTCTGGAGAGCTATATGAACTGAGGAGGCCCATGGATAGGGTCTGGGGGCAGGGCGGGGGATGGGGGGGAGGCAGCAGTGATTAACTTGGTTTAACACTTCCACACTTCCTGTAAGCATTTGCCCATGTCCTGGAGGAATGCGCTTTGGGAAACAGTGGGTTATGAAGTCAAAGGTTGGCAAACTACGGGCTGAGGCCAGATCCAACATGTCACTGCCCAGCTACAAACATCTCGTGTCTTAAAAATAGCTTTAAATTTTTAAATAAACGGAGAGGAAAAATCGGAAGAAAAAACGGTATTTTGTGACAGTTGAAAAAAGTGAAATTCAGATTTTAAATACGTGTTAGCAGGACATCGCCACACCTTATCCGGCTGCTTTGGCGTGGCAGCTGAGGTTACGCAGCAGGGGCGGAGGCGTGGGGAGCCAAGTAAGGAGACAGGAGGTGGGGTCACGCCGCCCAGCTGGGGGGAGGGGGCGGGACTTGGCACTGATTGATGGCAGAGCTGCGCATGTCATCCTGCTGGGACAGCAGCGCCCTTCCCTTCACACACAAGCCCCACTCTTGCTGCTCCCAGCTTGCGTCCTCTTGTTGCTGGGGTCGGTGAGTGTCACGTCCTCGCCAAAAGCAGAGACTCGGCGGCGCACTCTTTTCTTCCCCCTTCAGGATGCCGGTCTCCCTCCTGTCAAAAGAATTCAGTAATTACGCCCTAGTTGTGATAGCCGGGAGTTACCTTTCCATCCCTCCCTACATCATTCCTAAAACCCGCTTCCACTCTTGGAAGAAATCAGGTTAAGAAGTAGAGCAGTCGACAAAATGGAGTCTGGGGGAGCAACTAGACAGTGGAGGCGGGAGGCTGAGAAGCCAGGGAGCCTCAGGCAAGCTGCCGCTCTAACCATCTGGGGGGGGGGATGTCTTTCTGTCCGCTGTGAATGTATGTTGTTCCCATTGGTTTGTAAATAAATGAAGCAGTAATAAATAAACTGCTTTGGCCTATGTCAAGGCAGTGCAGAGGCAAGCGGGAAATCCAAGCAGAGATACAGAAAAGAGGTAGGCGGGATGGGAGAGATACCTGCCTGACACTCAAGGAGCAACATGCCAGCGGCCACTCGGCAAAGCATCCATGAATAGAAATGGGTTGATTTAAGATGAATGAGCCAGCTAGCAAGAAGCCTGAGCCATAGGCCAAACAGTTTGTAATTAATATTGAGCCTCTGAGTAATTATTTTATAAGCGGCTACAGGACTGCGGTGGGAGAGATTCATCTGGACTTCGGGGCCAGGCGGGACCGGAGAAACTTCCAGCTACAGAGCTGCTGATGGACTGAGGACTGGCTGATGAACCAGGCTGGAACAGTAGCAGAAGGCTGTAGGACAGTGGCATGGCTCTGTCTGAGGAAGGGGGAATGTAACGCTGAGAGTCCAGTCTCAGGTGAGCCTGTCATCATACTGTTCCCTAAAAAGGAAGATGAGAAAAAAAGGAAGATGAGGAGAGAAAACAGAGACCCCAGCCCAAACCCCCTGATTCTGACTGCAGACTCCAGCAGTAGTAGACCTGGCTTCCTGTGTGAGCCGTTCAGATCCTCCCTCAGTCTTCATTTTCATAACAGAGGCCCCAGTGGGCCATGGGGACAGAGTGGCACTTAGTCCTGCCCCAGAGAGTGGTCCCTGAGCAAGCACCAACATCTGTTGACTGAACTGCACAGTGCCAAGCCTTTCCCAAAGCTACTGAATCAGAAGATTCTCATTGCAAGAGATGCCTAAGGTGGTTCTCAGTACATTGTGAGACGTGCATCCATAAAGCATCTGAAGGGCTTGTCCCAGGGCCCTCCACATGGCAAACATTTAGGGCCAAGGGGTCCAAGTTAAGGGGGAAGGAGCTAACGCAGGTGTTCTCGGTGGATGGTTTTGTCACCAGGGTCCTGCGGGCAATGTTAGGGAAGGATTTTGGTTGTCCTGACTGGTGGGCACTACTGACATGTAGTGGGGCTGGATTGGGAGTGTGAATGAGCTCCTGCAGTGCACATCTCTGCCCTCTCCAGGGAGAATTGTGTCACCCAGCTCATCAACAGTGCTGTCCCGTAGAGCTCTGCAGAGGCCGGATTCCACACTCAGAAAACAGGTCTACTGGAATTTCATTCCCTCTCCGAGTTCCTCTGAACCAACAGAGAAGGAGAAAAGGACTCAGCCACCACCATGGAGCTGAGTTCTTCTCTGCTTCAGGAGGCAATCAAGAGCTCACTAAACCTGAAATGCCCCTTCCCAAGGGGTGGGGAAAAAAATGCCCAGCAAAGAGAGAAGTAATAAACATGTTAACTGAAAGCCAAAAGATAGGAGAGAGTCATGACATCACTTTTCTTCCAATGAATTGAGCATAATCTTCAAGACAGATGTTTATCTCCCCACTGACGGGAAACCCCATGTGGTAATGGATGTGGGATACCTGGGCACTGCCTGCAACCAGTGAGAGAGGGCCAGTCTTCTGAATTTTAGTTCAGCCCCTCCCCTCTCCCCTTCCTCCCTCCTCTCTGCTCCTCTCCTCTCTTTCTAAATAGAGTTTCACTAAGTTCCCCAGACTGGCCATAAACTGTTGATGTTTCTGCCTCAGGTTCCCAAATGCCAGAATTTCTACAATCCAGTTATGCGAAAGGTTCAGAAAAGACAAATCTGCATGGCTGAGGACCGAGGTAGAGTGGGTGTGGGGAACGCGAGCGAACGCGGAGGAGAGCACGCTGTTTACGTTGGGGATTCCGAAACGTTCTAAAGCAAAGGTTTTCAGCCTTTCTAATGCCACGACCCCTTGACACAGTTCCTCCTGCTGCGGTGACCCCTCAACCATAAAATTATTTCATTGCTACTTCATAACTGTCCATTTGCTACTGTCTTGAATCATAATGTAAGTATCTGATAGACAGGTGGTCTTAGGGGACTCCTGTGAAAGGGTCGTTCTCTAAATACATCTTAAAGCTATCAAATCCTACCTGTAACAGGCAACCACAGGGGTCACCTTCAAGCTTGCTTTTTCTAAACATTCGGAATGAAAGGAGAGAGGGAGGAAGGGAGGGGAGGGAGGGAGGGAGGGAGGGGGAAGGCAGGGAGGGGAAAGAGGAGGCATCAATGGAAATGAGATGTGTCTCGTTCTCACAGTCACTAGGGTCAGTCCAAAAGCCACCCTTTTCCTTGTATCCCATCCATTCTCCCCACCCACAAGTTGCCTTCTAGACTCACAGGAAGCATTACTTTCCCTTCTCATGTGCCCCGTGGGCCACAGCTGTTCGTTTTTGGATCATCGGTGCCAAGCCCTGATTTTTATACATCACTGAATTCCTTTCCTGTACTTAACAGGAGTTCAGCCAGGAGTTTAGTCAGCACTGTTGGGTAAAGGAATGTCCTATGGCTGGTGTGACATCATTCCTTCTCTTCTCTGGCACACAACTCTTAAAATCCCTGAAATGACACTCATCTTTTTGATGCTGCTAAGACAGGCTTTGGGATGGAGGCTGCTTGCTGTGGAACCAACCGGGTCATTAGAGAGTTGAAGGCCAGTGCCCTGCCCTATGCATACACCTCTAGGTATGAAGAGAGGCTGACAACTGAGTTCCTCACTGAGGGCCCATGACTCAGTCCTTCTGAGGGACTCAGTTTAGCACAGTCACTGGTAGGCAGACAGAGAGAGAGGCCATGGCTAGGTTGTAGAGGTGGCAAACTTCCAAGGTGGCTGGCTTCTTCCTCACTCTCCTGACCTGAGACAAAAAGCCTGGCAGCTTAAAACAAAGTCCTTGTGGGCTTTTTCTTCTACCAGCAGGCCACTTCTGATGGATTAGTTCAACAAGTTCAAGGCCCGACCAAGATATGTTCTCACAACTGTTGTGAGCCAATAAGCTCTCCTGACTGTAAGCAGACATTTCCTGTCCTGACTGCCTGTTCCCAAATACCCGGCAGCTGCTTTCCAAATTATCACACAGAGGCTTACATTAATTATAAATGCTTGTCCAATAGCTCAGGCTTGTTACTGACTAGTTCTTACAACTTAACCCATTTCTATTGATCTATGTATTGCCATGTGGCTCGTGGCTTTACCTGCCCTCTAGCATGTGTTGCTTCCTGGGTAGCTGGTGGCATTTCTTCACTCTGCCCTTCTCCTTCCCATCATCCTTAGTTTGGTCACCCACTTCCTACCTGGCTACTGGCCAAACATCATTTTATTAAACCAATTCCAGTAGCAAATCTTTACAGTGTGCAAGAGGTTTATTCCACAGCATTTCCACCTTTTAGTCTAATTAAAAAGGAAGGTTTTAATTTTAACATAATAAGATTATATACAATAACAACAGTTATCATGTAAGAATCACAGTTACAATATCCAGCTTATTTATATTTGGCAAAATTAGAGAAAATATTCTATTATCTATCTTATCTTTG